GTTATTTAGCGAGGTTTCATACAATTACAAACTGCTTTTATCCACTAAAATTTATAAAAATTAATTTTTATTGCAGTAAATAGAAACATATTTTATTTCTTTAGCAATTCATTATTAATTGGGTCATAAAAGTATCATCAGAAAATTTTCCAGGTTTTTGAGATTGGGTGCCATTGATTCTTTGGTTAAGGGTGATGTTGCTTTTGGCAGTTTGATGTCCAACTGTCATTTTGAGATTTGCATGAATGGATTAAGTAAGATTCCTTGTGTCAATGCTAAGGAGTAAATTGAGATAAATGAATCGTCGCATGTTTTTAAGACAGTTGGTTTATCGCAGGTCGAGGATCTTCATGAGAGTCTCTTTGTATGTTCGTGTTTGATAATGATTTAGGAATTCGAGGAACGGTCTGAACACTTGGCCACCATATCTACGGTTTATAATGTCCAAGATGTTTTATGGATTGAATTGGTCATTTATCTAAGTAATTAATGAATATTTGCATTTGTGAAGTTCAATTTGGGATGTCATGTCAACCTATATGGTAGGTGGGCCAATCCAACCCGATGTTCAGTCTGCATTATTATGAGTGATTCTCTGCATTATTATGAGTGATTCTGGAAACTTCCTCTGTGAGTTGAAATTTGACTCATTAGACATGTGTCAAAGGTCTATTCATTATCTTTCTCCAGGATTCGGTGCCTTGTTATAGTTAGATGTACTGAAGGTAACAAATAGCAAGATGCCTCATCCTTCGAGTAAAAGTAGTAGGGTAGGTGATGCAGTGGATCTTAGAAGGTTAGTATGTTCTTATCATCAGTTATATTCGGTAATGATAGTGGTTGCTCTTTTTCTTAAGCTAGAATTGGTATAAAAGACTATGGATAGGTCATGAAAATTGAATGAGGAAGTATGGATAGATGGTAGGATAAATAAGTAAGGTCATAGTTGGTTCATGGTTTTACCTTAATGGAAGGGTGTGTTGGATAGTTGACATGCCATGGAGTAATGCCGGAAAGAACAGAGTGTGGTGTGACCCTATCTTTCCCATGGTTAGAGGTGTCACGAAGTGTCGTGAGCCTATGTATGTGTGACTTGTGCGGGTGGAACCCGACAATTGTGTTTCCAAAGCTTTCAGGTTTGTGTTCCCTATATCCCAGTCACAGTTTGATCATTTAGAGTCTTGTAGAAAGACTATTGATGACTCAGTGGCCGACATGTTTGGGGTCAACATTTGAAAAAAAAAATGACTTGTTAGAAAAGTCATGGATGTGTATAAGAAGTTTTCTATTGATTTTTTGCATTTAAAGTCCCCCGTTTGTTTATGAAAGTTGTTTATTATGAGTTTGGCTACCCGTAACGGAGTACTGGTTCTAGAAATTATGAACCATAAGGTTCATTGTAGTACCATTTGATGATCTATTACGATGGTCGTACGCCTGATCCGAGATAAGAGTTTGGATAAAGCAATGTGTTATGGTTTGCACATTGATATGCTTGTGGGAACAGTGGCATATTGATTAATTTTCAGGAAGTCAAGTGAGAACCATAAGCCCCTTTTGGGAATGATTTTCAGATTTGGGAATTTATTGAGTTGATAGGTTGGAATGTTTTCAAGTACTTGTGGTTTAGGTTTCGGGTAGTCTCGGGATCTCATTTGTTGATATGTCATTTCAGTAAGTAGCTTTGGGAAAAGCATGAAGGGTTTACATTCGGGATCCTTTTCTGTATTATATAAGACAGATTTCGAATCCAGTCCAAGTAGGGGAGAGTTGTAACACCTGACTTTAGTTTGTGGTTTATCTTTGCCGTTCTTTAAGATGAGTCGATTTGGAGTTTTGATTGGGTCGTGACACAATTTTTAGGTGTTCGCAACATGACAACATTAATTACATCGCGACACGGTCAGGGTGAACCACGACCCATTGATAGTTGGGCTAAAAAGCCTAGATCTCGGGCTTTGAGCCCTATTTAAGGAATGCTAGCCTAGGGTGTCTTCCATTCTTCATCCTCCATCTCCCCAGATGAACCCCTAGCTCCTTTTCCATCTCTTGAAGAGTTTTTGGTGTTGTTGGTTGTCAAAAAGAACTCATAAGTGTTGGAGATGTTGTTGGTGTCATTCTCAACTCAAGACTCCACCTTCTAGTCTTTTCTCTTGCATTGTAAGCAACAAAGTTTACTACTTTATTTGGTTTTATGCATACATCTAAGGTTTTCATGAGTTTTTGGGTCATTTTAACCTTATATTCTTGAAGTTTGAGCAACTCCAGAACTTTAATTGGCAAATGAGTATGTCTTTGAACTTTAGGAATAGGAAAAATGTGTTTGTTTGTTCTCTTATTCAACCAAACAAGGAATTATGGACTTTGAATGACTAAATCTTGTTAGGGTTTTAGATTTGATTAGATCTAGACCTTGGAAGGGATAAAGTTGAAAACTTTATCCATTAAGTCAATAAGAAGAATCAGATCTAAAAGTAATAAGCCTTGATATGTAAGGATTAAGTGTTTAACGAGTTATGTATTCCGCTAAGGGAAACACAACACGACCAAGGATTGGTCGCGTCGCGGTTGTTAAGGAATTTTCGCAACTGTTCTATCGTAACAAGAACGCGGTGTGGGTAGTATCTGGCTCATGATGCGATGAACATCAACATTTTGGGCAGTTTGGCTTTTGGTTTGATGTGATGGATTTAGGACCTGAATGATGTTTAGAAGGGCAAAATGGTCTTTTACCTAAAAGTATGTGTAACATCCCAAAAATCAAGACCAAAAATTTTATTTTTGATTCATAAAACACATTATAGAAAACAACATCAAGTTATCTTATTTCATAAAAACCATAGATCATATGTCTCAAAAGCATGTCATAAGATAGTAATAATGTCAGAGTACAAATCCCAAGAATCTCATATGCAGAAAATCGTGTGTGTGATGTGTTGCTACCGTGCCGAGTCCTTTCCCTTCGAAGAAGAAGGATCTAAAACAAAAACTGAAAACCATAAGCACAAAGCTTAGTGAGTTCCCCCATCATACCACATACCATATAATCACATAACGCCTAGCATATCTGGGTGCTGGCCTCCCCTTCGGTCTCTTTCAACCATTAACTGCCTAGCATATCTGGGTGCTGGCCTCTCTTTCGGTCTCTTTCAACCGGTAACCGGAGATTATTTCACCCCCTACTTCTACCATATAATACCCTAGCATAAACATATAAATCATATACAGCCTAACATATCTGGGTGCTGGCATCCCCTTCGGTCTCTTTCAACCGGTAACCGATGACTATTTCACCCCTACCACTACCACATAATAACATAACATACTAGCACATAAAGCATAACAGATAGTGGCATACCCAGAAAATTATCACAAAGACAATCATCTCAACTATAATCACCTACTAGTGGGCCGACATTGGTGCCTTAGACCCACTCCTACTGGAAGGTAACTCACCTCGAGTGTCATGTAGTAACTGACGGAGGTGGCAATGGTGGAGTCGGTTGGTGGCAGAGGTGGTGGTAGTGGTGGTGGCGGTGGCGGTTGTGGTGGTGGAGGTGAAAGGAACAGGCAGCGCTACATAATTATTTATGATTATAATTGACCCGCCGTGCTGGTTAGTCGAAGGGTTAGATTGGCAGATGTGAATTAAGTGGCTGAGGTTGAATCTCAAGATCTTTATTTTATTTTAAGTCTCAACGGAACCTACCTCTCTCTCTCTTCTATCTCTCTCTCTCTCTCTCTCTCTCTCTATATATATATATATATATATATAATATATATATATATATATATATATATATATATATATATATATATATATATAATATATATAACTTATGCAGCTGAAAGAAAAAACTTGTGTGTTTACTTCTGCTTTGGAGAAGAAAACTTATAATACAGACAATGTACTTTATCATTTATCATAATAGCAACATACTTATAATAGATTATCAATAATAGCAATATGTAATCTGAAAATTATAGAAAAACTAACATACAAGGTTCGACTTATTTTGGTTGACTCATGACCTATGATCTTGTCTTGTTGAGGCTGTATTTCTGTTTTTCTTTGATAATCAAATGAAATTTCAGCTTTTGTGAGTAATTGAATACTTGGTTAAAATGCCAATTTGCTTTTGTCCTTTTGTTCTGATATGAAGTTGAACAGATACGATTGTTTGTTCATCTCTTATGTTGTGATTATAATTTTTTTGAGCCTGTTACACTGGTCCCTGAGATTTGCTAAAATTTACATTTTTGGTCTACCTTTTTTGAATTTCTTGTACATACAGTACCATCCACATATAATTAGAATCTGTCCTGGGTTTGATTATTGGTTTAAAGATTTTGGTTGTGAATGAAATCGATTTGGAAGCAAATGCAACTTTAAAAAAAATTATTTTGGATGCAACCAAAGAAGATGACCGGTTAGAATATGGTGTTGGGTGATGGGCCATTATGGAATAATTAAAAGAAATTAGTCATTTATAAAGAATTGATGATTTTTAGCAGTCTGGGGACCAAAATTGAAATAAAATAACACCATGAGTATTGTCAATCTAAAAATTTGAAAGGTGGACCAGAAGTATAACTTTAAGCTGGCAAAATGAAAGTCAAACAATTGGATAACATGTCAAAACTGTTGAGTTTTTAATATGGATGATTGATCTATAAGCATTTTCTCTGCCTATTTTTAGAATTTAATATAAATAAATAACGTCTTTAGATAACAGATATGATTACATATTATCCAATTGTCTTTTTTAGAATTTGAGCTAATTACAAGATGACCCCTAATCTTTGCTTAAATTCATACTTCTGTTCACCCTCTTCTTGGTGAGCACTTATGGCCTATCAATCTTCTGCCTCTTTGCCTCCAAATCCTCATCACTTGCCACTCTCTTTGTCTTCCTGTTACATCCATCCAAATTTACAACTTTTCCCTCTTCATTTGCATCATCTCGCTTCTTCAAGTTCTTTTGGTGTTATTGTCCGGCTTAGTGAAATTTGAGCACCTCGGTAGTGCTACAATTGATCCCACAAAGTTCACACGACACGGGATTAGGTCCGGTTGGTATTTCTGGGTTCTTCAACGTTTTTTGGTGTTTTTGTCCTGCTAGGTGAATTTTGAGCACCTCAGTAGTGCTACAATTGATCCCACAAAGTTCACATGACACGGGGTTAGGTACAATTGGTATTTCTGTGTTCTTCAACTTTTTTTGGTGTTTTTGTCCTGTGAGGTGAACTTTGAGAACCTCGGTAGTGCTACAATTGATCCCACAAAGTTCACACGACACGAGGTTAGGTACAATGGGTTCTTTTGATTTCTTCAACTTCTTTTTGTGTTTTTGTCCTGCTAGGTGAACTTTGAGCATCTTGTAGGTGTGGCAACTGATCCCACAAAGTTCACACGACATGGGGTTACCTTCATGTGAATTGACAGCTTTGCCCTCGGTAGATTTTGGATTTTGCATAGGCTGGGTGTCCAGTGAAGTGACAAAGTTCAAGGACGGATCTGATATTTTCCCTAATTCATTAAGTTTCTTGAGGTGTTTCTTCCCTAACATGTGTCTGTTGAGGAGTTCAAAATTGGTGTAGTCGATTTCACAAATTTCACACCTCACGGGGTCTGGATTCATCTGAGCCCATGAACCTTGTTTGATGTGGGGTTAAATACGCCATTTTTACTCCCAACCTGCATGATTTCCTGCACTCTGTTTTTTTATTGGACAGAATAATCATGTTAGTATCTAAATCTTATGTGAGAATACTATAGGAGTAGTCTAGGTCCAAATTTCATTTTCTCCATGATCACTCTTTTGCACCCAACTAGACTTGATTTTAACTACAAAACTGAAAAATTATTTTATTTCGTTTAAATCAAGTCCAAAATAAAATATTTCAACTCTCTTAAGTCCTAAGTCTTAACCAAAATAACAAATGACTACTACAATAATTTTTATAAAACATTGGCCAAGTATTAAGTGCAAAAACAGGTACAAGATGTGCTCAATCACATAAACCATACATGAAAAGGTTACTCTCGTTTCAGCTTCTAGACATAATAGCTTTATGAAATTGTACAAAAACATTTACTCTAGAGTGAAAACTTAAAAGCAGAATCTAACACTGTCTACAGAAGCATAATCCAAAATGATAGATAAAATGAAAATTAGGGCTACCTAGTTTTCAGTGACAAGAAATGAACTCACAAAAAGCTTGACCGGTGACAGATAACCTTTCCGCTTAGTGTGAGTTTGGGCGTGCCATTTCTCGAATTTTTAAAATTGTTTAAAAAGCTACTCAAGTATTTCTAAAAACTTTTGGAGGTTTTTTAAATTCGTCGAATTTTACCCTTTAAAAATGAAAGGCAAATATAAACGGCTGGAAAAAAAATCGATCACATATGAATTGTAGTTTTATTTGTGCTTTTTTACATGATTATCATTAATAAATAAATTAATAAACTTAAAGATCTATGAGTCGTCAGCTAAGAAATCAAAGATAAAATTAATTTTTCTTTATGTAAGATAACCATCTAACTTGCCTCGACAAGATGTGGATAATTTAAACTTTGCTTGAATCCAACAGAAAGATGTACTCATAATCACAACCTATAAAAAATCATCAAATCTTTTATCACCGAATAAGAAACTGAACGTTAAAAAGGATAATATAGTGGAAGCTTATGTAATTTCCTCACAATACCCAATAGCTCCAAGAATACCAACTTTATTGGATATTGGAGTTGTAATCCCTGTAATGAATCAAAGTTACAAATATAACATCACTACAAAATGAGAATTCAAAAAACTCACAAACAATTCATGAGTGTTCTTGTCTACAAACTTGGGGATTTCAACAGGGATTAGATCATGCATTCAAACTGGTGGAAATTCAAACAACAGAAAAGCTAACATATCTTATCACTTTCATTTGTGTAAAGTTGGTCAATATCCTTTCCCATGTTAGAAATATCGATTTAATGGCACTTGTAAATCTGAGAATTGTGATTATCACTTTCAAATCGAAGTATTTGGGTGGTACTTCCAAATCCCCAATTGGATAAGACTCATAAAAATCAGAGAGAAAGAAAGAGAATGAGAGGGTATATTTCTGTGAGTACCAAAAAAACAGACCAAAACTGAATTTAGATCCTTGTCTGAAAACTGTCATATGACATTTTAAAACTGTCACAAAACCACCAAAACGGTCATAAAACGGGTATTTTGAAAAAAAATCAAAATGGGTCAATTCTCTAAAAAACCGGATTTCTAATGCATCTTTTTATATAGTAACATAACCTTCGACCCCGCCAGGGGCTGCCTCCACGGGTATTTTGAATAAAAAGTCAGGGGCTCTGCCCCTTGGACCTCGCCAGGGGCTGCCGCTCCTTGGACCCCGCTCCCAGGGGCGCTGCCCCCAGACCCCCATTCGTTCAGGGGCTTCGCCCCTAAAAGACAGTGTACTTTGATACTTGATCAAACTTAAACAAATGTGTACTCCACACCTTCCTTCCTTGTTTAATATTTATCAAGATCGCTTTTGGTCAACAAAGTAATCTCATTACACTTAAATAACATTGATGATAACAAATCACCAACATCCCATTTGTTCATCTACGATAATACAACTACACTGCTTGCTTGCACGTACTTCATCTTTCAATTGGCATCTCTGATTGATTATAAAGTAAGCTTCACCAACACACACAAGCTTCATGTATATCTACAAAGTAAAGGGTGTTATAATAAGAAACATACTCGGTGACCAAACACCAACACACATTGAAAAAAGTTATGTATAAAGCAACAATAAAGATAGATAGCAAGCCTATTTACCAAATCATGTCGATTTCAAGGTGGCTCCATTTCAATGGTGAACAGTTCATTTACCATAGATTTGGTCTAGCCTTTTCATCGAACACCTGATCTGCAGCCACCAAATAGACTTTGATTATCATTAAAAATTCTATCAAGTTGAAAAACTAAACATAAGTAAAAGAATAAAGATTCAGCAATTCCATTTCCTCACTTTCTCACTTTAAATTAGACATCGGTTACTTTTCAACTTTAATTTGCAACAAAAATTTGCAATTGAATCGAACTGTTTATTGGAACTTGGAAAGGCTACTGAATGTATAAGATTTAGGGCTATATTTGTTGTTCAATTTCCATGTAAATCGTGGAGGACTCAGTCAATTTAAGCTTAACATGTATAATTATCATATCTATACAGTTCTTTTAGATTAATGTTTACTTTGATTTTGATATGCCTATTGTGCAAGAAAATTGAAAGGAAGGGAAGAACACCATACAATAAGGTTAGTAGATTCAGCTATTTCTTCTTCTACTTTCTTTCCCCTGTTTTTTGTTACCCATGATCACAAATTGAAATCAAAACAAAGCAACGATTCCATTCCAGATTACTAAAAACTGAAATGGAATGTTGAATTCCAGGTTGCAGATGAACTTGTGGCTGAATTTTCAGACCCTAGCAATGTTGTACAAGTTGCTACCCAGGCTCATGTAAGTTTCTTTGATTATATTCCTATAGATTTCTATAAATAACTTATTTTTTAGGGTCATGAGATCCGTTTGAAGCTGGTTTTGAAGCATTTCATGAGGTGTTGGATATACGTAGTCCTCCAAAGTTTGAGCTTTAAATTGGTCACAACACAAATGGGTTTCATATTCACAGTAAGTTATGAAATTTTGGTTCTGTATATTTGAAGGAGTGTTAGTTGAAAAAAAAATGTTCCAAATTTGTTAATTGCAATAGTGTTGAGGTATGTACAGACATAGTTGATATTGATAATTGAGTTGTTTTTCTAATTTCACATGTCACAAATAATCATTGATTACGAATCTCACCAAAAGACACCATTTCATGCTGTTAATACATTAATCTATTCAGTGAACATGATAATACTAATGTTCCTAATGTTATCTCATCAGTTCACACATCATTTAAACCTGCGGGCGTAACGTAGCGCATGCTTTTATACTAGTTATCAAGTAAATTACTAAAGTCATATTGATAAGTTTGTATTTTTTCTGTTTTCTTGTTTTGAGTTTTTTGTTCCTAAAGTTTTAAAATGGTTGCAAGCCTTTAGTGGACTACAATCTTCATAAATGGTTCTTATAGTTTTCCAAAATATCAAGTTTCATTTATAATTTTTTTTTTCGATCTCATAGAAGGTCCTTATGATTTCAATATTTATTGTGGTCGGTCCCTAATCATATGAAATGATTAATTTACCATTTTATTTTATTTTTTTCATTTATTTTTATAGCAACAATTAAACAAAAAATAAAATAAAATAAAATTTGTCTCATGTGTGGATCTAGTAGGGGTTTCCTCTCTTATGGCTTGAGGAATGAGGTGAGGGAAACACTTATGTATGGATCTAACAGGGGTTTCCCCTCTTGTGAGCTTGGGGAGTGGGGTTTTCAGTATGGGGAGACTGTTTTAAAAGTTGTATCATGTAAAGTGGCAAAACATTGGAAAACATGCATGGAAAATCAACACACATTTATACCTTTTGCATTTGATACTTTCGGTTTCTTTGCGCGGAATGTTGTGAAGCTTCTCAACAGGGACGGACGCAGGAATACATTGCAGGTATTGCCGGGACGAATAGGTGTTGCCGATACATGAAAAATAAGTAAAAAAAATCGAAAAATCAAAAATTTTTCCACTGCGGCCAGAAAAGTTAGGGGTTGCCGGTGCCACACCGGGAACCCCTAAAAACCGTCCCTGCTTCTCAATAAAGTCTAGTGGGTCACACACAAAAATGTTATGACCCAATATCTAGGGATGTTTTTAAAAGATTTTTTTTTACATTTCAAAAGGGGGTAACGGCACAGCTTGTTGCTCGTTTGCCCCCCTCATCTATGTAAAAATTGTATTAGGTTTTAATAGAGGTTGAATTTATAAACTACAATTATACTAAAAATAAATAGTACCCCTACCCCATCCTACCCTCCCCCCTCTTCTATAATGCTCATCTTTAAGAGATCACCACCAACGATCAACACCGCTACCACCAATTATCATTGGACCTTCGTCGTCACTATAACCAAGACAATCTCCAAAAGGTTCCACCTGCACCCCATCCCCCACAGTCTCTTCCGCTTACCCTCCACCATCATCCATCTCTTCTGGATACCCTCCACCACCACTAAAGTCCACTAGGTCCACTCACACCACCATTACTAATCCGTTTATACATGAACACTACCAATTGATTCAATATTAGTTGCGAGACCGTGAGACTTTGAGGGTTGAGATCATGCGAATGAGGCGTTGCACAGAAAGCTAGGGCATAACTTTGAGTTATGGTGCAATGATCAATTGATTAAATATCCCGTACAAAGTTTTAAAAAAAAATATATTAATAATTAAGTAATAAATAATTAAATATTGTATAAAATTATGTAATTAAATGTATATATCGGTGCGGTTTTTTTTTTTTTTTTTTTTTTTTTTTTTGCAAAACTGCAAAGCGCACCCTACTGAAAATTTTCAGTTTTTGCAAAACTAAAAACCATATAGTCGGTTTTGTTTCGGTTTATGCGGTTTTTTGGGTTTTTTTATTTGTAGTGAGAGTTTTGCTCACCTTACCATTAGCGTCGACATCAATATCGTTGACATGTGAGCATTAGCGATGAAGCATTAGCACCGACATATTAATGATAACATGTATCACCTTTGTCCCATGTGGCCCTTAAATCTTGTAGTGTAATTGCATATTTCTTTATGCATTGGAATTATTTTTGGTTCTTAATTTAGTAGCCCCAACCATCACCTCTTATTTGGATCTCTATTTGTCATTGTCTTATTCCTTTACTTTCTTAGAGGGGCAAACTTGCTAGGCGACATTTTCATAGGATACTAAGAAATGAACTTCTTGCTTTTCTCGCATGACATAGCTAGGATGTAACAACCTCCCATACAATACCCACTTAACTAACTTGTAGAAAGTACAAACAATACATTGTGTCAACTAATAGAATTGTTTACATTAACTTGTAGAAAGGACAAACAATACAATGTGTCAACTTATTTGATTGTTTATATCTCGTTCTAATGGCCAGCATATTGTTTCTTTCCCCTTTCTTGCAAAAAGACAAAAATAGATTTTGTAAACGGCCACCTATTTGCAAAGAATATCTTTCTAAGTCACAATGCAACTATACTGTTACAACATATGTATTTTGTAGTTTCCATTTAATTTATATAATAACAAATAGAAGATTGCTAATTATTTTTTAAACACTAAGTTTATTCACTACAATAAATCTTGGCATTACCGGCGACGCCTTTAGCGGTGACATGGGGCAATAGCGGCGACATGTAATTGACGCGTTACATGTCGCCGCTATTGCCCCATGTCGCCGCTAAAGGCATCGTCGGTAATGCTCGCAAACGTCGATCCGCGTCAAATTACCCCCATCCGTCCGATTTGTTTTCAATCCAACGGTTGTAGAAAAGGCGCTGACTTTTCCCTCCAAGGAGTCGCCGCTATTACTCTTTTGCCGCCGCTAATACACATGTGTCGCCGCTATTGCGTGTCGCCGCTAATACTCGTGCAGATAACCCCCTTCCCAGTTTCCTTTTTCGCCACTTTTTCTCCTGCTGTTTCTTTCCTTCTCTCGCTCGTTTCTTGGTTGCAGCTTCTTTCCTTCATCAGTTCACAAGTCGATTGAGTGGAGGACAAAGATTTAAGCCGGTGCTAGCCCCTCCTGCTGCCACAATACCGCCACACCTTCCGCAAAACCGGCGACCCTCAGCTCAATTCGGAAATTCATCACATTCAAGGTAAAATTGCTCCTATTTCTTATTTGTTTTTCTGTTTTGGATGATAAATTGGTGCTATATGTCGGAAATTGCCTCTTGCGTTGTTCTTATATGACCGATAAACACAAGACCATTCCTATTTTTTTCTTGCTTCTTATCTGCGCATTACCGGTATAAATTAATGCTATATATATGTTGGAAATTGCTTCTTGAATTGTTATTAGATCACCGATAGACAAGACCATTCGAATTTTTTTTTCTTGCTTCTCTGCAAGAACGATCGCTCGATGAAGGAGGAACAACTGCAATCAGAGGCATTGGGCGTAAACCCCCAACCGTTGTGTGTTCGACGCGGACATATCAGAGGCATTGGGCGTAAACCCCCAACCGTTGTGTCCATGTACGATCAGGAACAACCATTGACACAAGAACAACCGCAATCACAGGTAATTGTTAGTTTAAGTTGAAAAGTATAATGATATAATGGAAAGTAGAATGTTATAATGATATGTTGGTTATTATTTGATATGTTGATATTTTGTAGAATGGTATAATTATAATGCTATTATCATACGTTGGTAATATATTTTGTTTTCTTTATAGTTGGAAATGCTGCAAACAATACTAAAGGACCCGGCCTGTTCTGCAGCATTGGAAGAGTGGTTTCGCTCATTGCCGCCACCAAATAATGAAGGAAATAATGAGGACGAGTAGTACTTACTTTAGGATTTTATGAAATGTTTTGTAATTTGGAAGAATACTTTAGAATGTGGTATGGATTAATATTTTGGATTGGTTGTGTATGGATTAATATTTCTATAAAAAGTTATCAGATTTTATAAATGCTATATTGTTTTTTTTATAAATTTAACGTTAAATAAATAAATAAAATAAAATTTTTTTTTTAAAAAAAAAAAACTAAAACTGTATTAGTGGCGACATCTTTTGTGGCGACAAAAATGTATTAGCGGCGACAGGCAGTATTAGCGGCGACATATCATTAGCGGCGACGGTCAACCTTTAGCGGCGACTCTAGGTATTACCGGCGACGCATTTGCAGCGACGTGTCGCCGCTAAAGGTATTAGCGGCGACATCCCGAACCTTTAGCGACGATAGAGGTCGCCGCTGTTGCCCAGTCTTCTTGTAGTGATTAAACCTGGAAGGGCATCTCGGGTTCATCTCATCACAAAGTTTACTAATTAATGAGCATAATTAATGGCCCTATTGTTTTGATGGACATAGTATAGGAACCTATGATTAGCTTTTCAGAAAATTTGGAGGCGAACAATTTCAACAAAATGATTTATTTTCTGTTTTACCCCGTATAAAAATGGCTATAGCAAGGTATCTCTTGTTTGTATTAATATCTATTATAGGACGGACGAGGAAAACTAACCAATGATATATATAAAACTGTTGAAAGATGGATCTGACAATCAATAATACGATACATGTATTATTACATTTTTAGATATAAGAAAAACTATTATGATGTACATAAGGCTAAAGTAAAGTCACTCAAATTGTTTCCTCCCTAGACTTTATAATATCATGTTTCTGTTCATTAACCAGATTGGCCATACTGTTGTCATTGTGCTGAATAGAAGACAATTAGCATACATTTTTTACTGTGTTAAGAGGTCTAAGAGGAGCCCTCATACATTATTTTGCTGGTAGTTTTTTTTTATGATAATCATTGTTCTGAGAAAGGCTTCCAAAGGTAGCTGGTTCAAAGGTTTAGCCAACTGATGACTTTGTAAAGTAGGCTTAGTTCCAATGTTTGTTCTTGAAGATGGAAGGCTCGATTTAATCTTAAAAGAAACATGGGAGTCAAAAATGTAGAAGCTAGTGATTAGAGATTCATGGTCTTGGAAAAAATATCATTGGAAAAGGAATATGGAAGTAATGGCTTTTGGTCCTTTACTAGAACATCCACAACACCTCATCTATCTACTCTTAACTCTTGGTTCAACTCTACAAAAAAAAAATCTATAATGTACTGAATTATAGGACATATCTTAAAAAAAAGGTCATTTATTAAAAAAAACTTTTTTTTCACCATTGAAGAGTTCAGTGGTCATTAAACTTCATATCTATTGAGTATATCTATTGAGCACCAACATGACATGCCATAATAATAGAGTCCCTTCATTACTTTCGATCAAAGAGGTGTGGCATATATATAGTACTTCCTTCCCATTTTCATGTGATACTATCAACAGAAACTGTTGCAGTTTTCATGAGACAAGGAGTAATAAAAACTTTAACTTTTAAAAGTCCTTCAAGACGGATAATAATACATTGTTTCAAGTGACTTTGTTGTTTCTATTTTTTCCTCATTGGTCTGCAGTATTTTTATTTCTCGTTGGTGCAGAAGATAAAGACAGTTTTATAACTACTAACATCTGTCCAAAGAATATCTTTGTTAATCACAATGTAACTAGTGATTATATTATTTGTGATTTATTCCATTAATTAACCGAATATGCTGCAACAATCCACATGAAACTTCAGTATAAATTACTATCTTTTTCACTAAAATTAACACAAGCTTAATTATTCTACTAAGCTCTCTTGCTCTGCATTTACTTTTTCCTCTTATAGGTGCAGATAAAACGTCTTAATTAGGACATCAACTTCAATGGCTTCAACAAGGAAATACTCCAGCGTTTTCATATTTATGATTCTTTCAAGTCTTGGATTTCAAGCATCATGTGACACTGGGATCGGAACCATCAATGACCCTCCATACTTACGTAATTGAAAAGCACAAACACAAAGACATGAATGCACATATAGATATTAATATATTTTTCATTGAATATCCACGTCTTGCTAATAATCTGCATGTTAATTCCAATTACAGCTTCAGCGTGTTATGGGTATGAAGATAAAGGAGTTATGATAGCAGCTGCAAATGAAGATCTATGGGAAGGTGGAGCTGCTTGTGGAAAATATTTCCAGGTGACTTGTACCGGTGGAACGAATCTAGGTACACCACACCCTTGCACCGACAACCCCACAGTGACTGTAATCATCACCGACTTCTGCCCACCTCCTGGTTGCAAGGGTGACCTTGACATGTCACATGAATCGTTTTCTGCCATTGCTGATCCTGCAGCTGGAGGAATTAAAATCTCTTACCAACAGTGAGAAATTCATAACTTTTTTCATCATTTTATTATAAGAAATATGGGTTCTTTGCTATAACATTTATAATATTATTTCCGGATTCCTTGAATAAATTTTTTCCTAGTTTTATGAAAACATGCATGTCTGTTCTCCTTTTGTAGGGTTTGAGAAGAAAGATCATGGAAGTTGTATACAGCAGCAAACTTTTCTGGAGAAATAACCCCTCTAATAACACCAGAGCAAGATGCAGTATCTCAATTCCGAAAATATGAACTTCTGTTTTCCATTTTAATTATTTGATGTTACTATTAAATTAAGTTTATCTCTCTTCTAGTTCCTTGCTAGAGGTGGAGCTTTGTTTTTGTTTTGATACATCTCGCTCGTTTCAAAAAAAAAAAAAAAAAAAAGAAAAGAAAAGAAAACCAAGATTTTTGGACTTGTGAACCAACAAAGTAGGGGTGTCAAATCAGAAAATCGTGTCGTGTTTTTCTCTGACATGACACGACACGAGAATGTTTTATGTAACACGAATACGATACGATACGATACGATGTCATGTTTATTTTCATTAACATGATGTCGTGTTTAGTTTCATTAACACGAAAACGAGTCGATTAAAACACAACACGACACGACAATCATAAAATAATACAATTATTAGTTTATATAATCCATACTTAATGACGTATAACACGAAAACACGACAAATGCATGCTAAATTAATCGAGGCAATTTCGTTTTGAATTTTAAAAACGAACACGACACGACACGAAGTCGTGTTTTTTTTATACTTGAACACGAATTCAAATTTCAATTTCATCACAATCTCGTTTCGTGTTGTGTATTTTTATCGTGTCGTGTCATAAATTGAAATTGGGATGAAATTGAAATTTAAACTTATGTGGAATGACAGTTTCGTCAATGACAATGTCATTAGAAGGACAGTTTCGTCATAAAACTTATGAGGCATCTTAACCAACTCATTAGGTGACTGCCAACCAAAACCATACCAAATCAAATAAAGATAAAAAAACCAATATTTTACGAATATTATCCTCTAATATCATATTATGTTCAACCTAGAGGTTTAAGACTGGTTGTTGATTCTTTAAGATGCAAATAAGTTGGCTTGTGGAAGCAACTTTTGCCACATTATTGCATGTTAACCTCCTCTGTTATTTCGTTTTTATCCTTATATTTTTCCTTAATTCCTTTCAACAATCCCTTTCCACCTTAACTTCTTCAATTTTCTTAGAATCAAATTTTTTCCTTTTTTGCACCCAATAAGCTCCAACTTCATGTTATTTAGTAGACTTTTTGTAACACTTGTTTTTCAAGATGAATCAATTTAGGGTTTCAAAGAGTAGAAAGGTTTATTTTCAAGGGAAATCGAGTGTCACGACGTGACAAGAAAAATACAAGAAAGCACGTTTTGGACCATTCTCATGACATGAGACATAAGGGCTCACGGCGTGAGAGCTGATGCAGCCCAAACACATGATCTTTTAGGGATTGCTTCGTATTTAAGCACCTTAACTCGGTTTTAGGGTTCATTTCTCATCTTCCATATCTCTAAATCTCAGAAACTCTAATCCTAGTTCTTCATGGTGGTGTTTTGTACTCATTTACTGATTTTTGGTTCTTTGAAGAAGAAGAAGACTCCTTGGATGCATCCTTTTGGCAATCAAGCTCCTACCTCATCATCTTGCAATGCTTTTGGACCCTTGAATGTCATAAAGCTTCCACCTTTATCTCTAACGCATGCTAGATCTAAGGTTCATGCTTTCTTTTTTATAGATGGGTTTAGTAGCATACATGAGATCCATAAAGTTGACAACTTATGGGTCATTGAGGCATTTCCTTTTAGTATGAGATCAGATCTATGATTTGGTATTGATTTAAACTACAAGCATGATTCTTGACCTCATTTTCCCTCTTATTGACCTAGTTGATGTTTAAGTCATGCAATGGACATGCATGCCTGTAAAGCTTCGAGTTTTATGGTCCTTAGCGTTGGGGGAGACCCTCTGGAAAGTTTCAAGGAATGACTTAATGGATTAAGAGCTTAATGCTCAAAGTTGGCCAGAGTAGATCTCACGACGTGAACAATAGCCTGTCACGTTGTGATATGTGGTGTTCGCAACTATTTTGTCCTTTTCCAGTCACGACGTGGCCATTGGCTGATTTTGACTTTTTTTTTACCATGGTTGACTTTTGGTCAAACTAAGGGTTTTGGATTTCTGACTGAGAGGGTACTTTTATTGCTGTTAGGTGCAATGTAGGATTAGTATTTGTTGAGTGTGAGGTGTGGAATTTAGCTGCTACTCACGATGTGATTTCTATCACTATACTTTCTTGTTGGTATTATGTGTTGACCACCTTTGTCTTATGTATTGGTTATTGTTACATGTGAATTCAGTTGTTGATAACTCGTGGACTGCTGTAAGTCAACGAGATTACTGATAGTCTCCAGGGTTGCTGATAACCCGTGAGGTGTGTTGTTAATCCGTGGGGCATGTTGTTAGTCCACTGGCACTGCTGAGTTCCCAGGGCTGTTGAGAACCCATAGCTATTATATTATGTGTTGTATATGATATCTGGAATTTCTAATAATTCCAAGGTTGTTGTTATATGTTGTGATATATGAGATATTTGGGGAACTCACTAAGGTTTGTGCTTATAGTTGTGGATTAAATATTTTGTAGGTACTCATTTGGTTTGCAAAGGCAGGACTATACACACATCAACAACTTTATGATTTGATATTCTTATGGTGTCTTCATTATAACTCTGATTTCTTAATAATGGTTTATGAACAAATGATTTGTTTGAATGTATCATTATTAAAAATGAAAATTTTGGCCTAGGTTTGTTTGCTGAGCTTTGGCTCTTTCAAAAAAAAAATATTTGGCCTAGGTTTTTTGGATGTTACAATTCGTATCAGAGCCCTGGTTTGAGGGATTTGGATGAACACTCGTGGTATTCCAAACTCAAACTATGTAGCTGAGAGTTTTTATAAAACGTTTTAGAAAAGATTCATTTCAAGAGCAGAAAAGGGATGATGCAATGTGTACAGTCAGCTGGAGCTTAAAAAGTGATTTCCCAAATATCCATATTTGTCTTATATGATGTAATTCACTTGTTGTTATATGTGTTATAGTATGATTTGTATGCTATAAGATGCCTTTCTGTGTGTGTGTTATATGAGTTGTTAGAGATGCATGTGTAGGCTAAGGATCCTGAGGAATTGTGTGTTAGAATTGTCTGATCTTTATGATGCCTTTTTGCCTATTAGTTTTCTGCTCCAATGTTGTTTGCCTTGTGCTATGTGAAACTTATATTGATGTTAGTGAGCTATTAATTGAATATGTTATGTTACATACCGCAAGGATTAAATGGTTTTATAATGTTTGGTTTGGCCTATTGCGCATCTCTTGTTTGATTCCAACTGTTGTAGTGCAGGATCTTTCAGTCGAATAACTATTTAATCATTGTTGCATGTAATTGTATTCGTAAGATAGTTAGTTAGCAGTGGTAGAAGTTTTTTTTGCAGCTGATATCAGCGTGGGTGTGGGTATTCCTAGTGATATTGGGAAAGTGCTAGGGTACGTTGGTGTGAGCACTTGTGTGAGAGAAAATCTAAGCTGGAAATCTAGGTAGTTGGTGGTGGCTTTTATAAGCTTATGGGTGTGCTGATACACATGGTAGTGGTGGAGTTCTTAGAAAAGTGTTCTAGTGTGTGTTGATGCGTGAGAAGAATCCTAGAGTGAAAGAGTCTTGGATGGGCAGTAGTGTGTGCTTGTGGTGGCAAATGTATATGATATTTAATAGTGGTCAGGTATAGTGACTTAGAGACTTGGAGGAAATTCTTAGGACACGTACGCAGAGGTATGGAAGGTAGTAGGGGCCCATACTACTGAAAGCACAGGATCCGTACGAGGATCGGGAAGGGTCAAAAAGGTTTCTAAGAAGCTATTGGAGGGTAGGTAGTGTGGTATAGCACTAACGTTATTTGCAGTCGTCCTCATCGTTGTCAGCCTGTCGTGCATGATTGTACAGAATGGGACCGGTAATCAATTGGGCATTAGTCTCCATGGCAATCTGGCTCTAGTTGGTGCAGACCAGAGAGGTTTACCTGATTTAGAGAACTCGTGGAACCTACTCGAAGTAGTGCTAGCCTGAGTTGCGGGAATCAAGAAGGAAGTTGTTGTAATGATTACCTCGAGGATTGCAGCCTGAAGCTGAGTGGTCAGCCAATGGCAAGGGATGTTACTTGATGCATCGAGGTTGTGTTTCCTGCCTCCTATACTCAAGGAAGGAGAGAACGGTTGTGGTTCAGTCGATGGTTAAGATAGGAGATGGTGATCTGCTCATTGGTTCTGCTAAAGGAAGTATAATTCTGATTCGCAGTCAATTGTCTTTGGGTCGCAGTGAAGGGATATTTGAGACTGAGTGGTTCTTGTGGTTCGATAGCCAATGTGAAGGCCATGTCATAGGTGGAATACATAACATAGATTCAGGGAGATCGGGTGTATCTGGGGAGACATCGAGTTGATCCTGTTCTGGGCAGAAGAGTTATGTGGAGGCGTTGAGCTTGTCAGAGCTGTGTTTTAAGTATCTACAAGGGGATTCTTGAAGTTTCGATGGGATTATGAGGTTGTGGATCAAGCCTCCAAGTGTAATATTTCATGTGTGTAAGTTTAGTTCGGAAGGTGCTAAGTCTATCCAATGGTGTTCTGGCCAATTTCTCTAAGTTAACTGGACGATGATGGGAGAAAGGTCTCCAAAGTCTCCCTCTGAGATTCAGAGATTTCTTGTTCTTAGGATCATCTTGCATTGTGATATGCATCTTGAGCGTCAAGTTGGGTATGTTCATGGTTAAGCCGGCATGGGCTTCAATGTTGCAGATGTCAGTCGATGATGATTCGAACCCTAAATGGGGGAGAACTGAGTAATTTGCTTGGATGATCATTGGTCGGTTCGATTTTTATGGTGTCATTACGATGGGTCAGAGTAACATG